GACTCAGCAGTCTGTGTGTGTGTGTATGGACTCAGCAGAGTCTGTGTGTGTGTATGGACTCAGCAGAGTCTGTGTGTGTGTGTGTGTGTGTGTGTGTATTTACTCAGCAGTCTGTGTGTGTGTATTTACTCAGCAGTCTATGTGTGTGTGTGTATGGACTCAGCAGTTGTGTGTGTATGGACTCAGCAGTTGTGTGTGTATGGACTCAGCAGTCTGTGTGTGTGTACGGACTCAGCAGAGTCTGTGTGTGTGTGTATGGACTCAGCAGTCTGTGTGTGTGTGTGTGAACTCCGCAATCTGTGTGTGTGTGTGTCAATGATAATATGGACTCAACAAGTCTGTCTGTGTGTATGGACTCAACTTGATCTGTGTGTGTGTATAAGACTCAGCAATCTGTGTGTGTGTGTGTGTGTGTGTGGACTCAGCAAGTCTGTGTGTGTGTATGGACTCAGCAGAGTCTGTGTGTGTGGTCAGCAGAGTCTGTGTGTGTGTGTATGGACTCAAGCAGAGTCTGTCTGTGTGTGTGGACTCAGCCCAGTCTGTGTGTGTGTGTATGGACTCAACTTGTCTGTGTGTGTGTGTGTATGTACTTGCTCAAGCAGAGTCTGTGTGTGTGTGTATGAAGCTCAGCAGAGTCTGTGTGTGTATGGACTCCAGCAGAGTCTGTGTGTGTATAGACTCAGCAGTCTGTGTGTGTATGGACTCAGCAGTCTGTGTTTGTGTGTGTATGGACTCAGCAGTCTGTGTGTGTCTGTGTGTGTGTATGGACTCAGCAGTATGTGTGTGTATGGACTCAGCAGTCTGTGTGTCTGTGTGTGTGTGTGTGTGTGTGTATGGACTCAGCAGTCTGTGTGTGTGTATGGACTCAGCAATCTGTGTGTGTGTGTATGGACTCAGCAGTCTGTGTGTGTGTGTGTGTATGGACTCAGCAGAGTGTGTGTGTTTGTGTATGGACTCAGCAGAGTGTGTGTGTTTGTGTATGGACTCAGCAGAGTGTGTGTGTGTGGACTCAGCAGTCTTTGTTTGTGTGTGGACTCAGCAGTCTTTGTGTGTGTATGGACTCAGCAGTCCTTGTGTGTGTATGGACTCAGCAGTCTGTGTGTATGGACTCAGAGTCTGTGTGTGTGTGTGTATATGGACTCAGCAGTCTGTGTGTGTATGGACTCAGCAATCTGTGTGTGTGTGTATGGACTCAACAGTCTGTGTGTGTATGGACTCAGCCAGTCTGTGTGTGTGTGTATGGACTCAACAGCAGAGTGTGTGTTTGTGTGTATGGACTCAGCAGAGTCTGTGTGTGTGTGTATGGACTGAGCAGTGTCTGTGTGTGTGTATGGCCTCAGCAGTCTGTGTGTGTGTGTGTGTATGGACTCAGCAGTGTGTGTGTGTGTGTGTATGGACTCAGCAATCTGTGTGTGTGTGTGTGTATGGACACAGCAGTCTATCAATAATTAAAATTCCTGTGAGTTGTTGTGTGGGAAGGGCCCCAGTGCATTGCTTTGCCCAGGGGCCCTTAACTCCGTTAAAATGGTACTGCTTGTGTGTGTAAGTGAGCTTCTATTTAGTGAGCATGTGTGTATCAGTGAGCTTGTCTTTAGTGAGCTTGTGTGTATGTCCCTGAACTTCTTTGTAGTGAGCCTTCTGTTTATACAAGTGAGTGTTTGTAGTAAGCTTGTGTGTGAGTCAGAGAGTTTTATCTGTCAGTAAGCCTATTTGCGCATGTCAGTGAGCTTGTGTGCTTACTGTAAAATATATATATATTTTTTATTTATTTTTGACTTGTAGGAATGGCATACATTTTTTTTCCAGGGCTGCTTTGGATTCCCAGGGATTCCCAGTTTGGCTCTGCCAGCGAGTGCACTTTACCGCTGAATAATCTGTGTGAGCTGCCGCACACTTTAGCCCTGTTACACGCGCCTGGGAGCTGCTGTTGACAGGTACTAGTAGTCTAGAGATTGGGGTATATGCTCAGCTATCTGTATAATACAGATCTGTGTGTATAAAATATCCCGAGATAGTCAGTGCTTCCTGTATAGTGCTGCTCTCTGTCTTGGGATATTATACACAAACAGACCTGTATTATACAGAGAGCAGCACTATACAGGGAGCACTGAGTGTCCCAATTTATTATACACACAACCCTGTATTATACAGAGAGCACTGACTGTCCAGGGATATTATACCCAGACAGTAAATGATAGCTGTGCTGCAAAATGTCCTTGGAAATTTTTTTTCAAATGTTGTCAACTATGGCACTGTATCAAGGATAATGTGTTTGTTTTTTTAATAATCCCTGGTGGAAAATAATGAATCCTCCACCAGGTATTATTAAAAAAACAAAACACATTGTGTCGGGGGCGTGGCTTAACATGTGACAGGGGCGGGGTCAAACTGCGACAAGGGCGGGGTTAAATGTGCCCCCCTACTTTTGTCACTGGCCCTCCATGTGCCCCCCCCGAAAAATGAATCCTAGAGATGCCACTGTTGCTGCCTGGATGAAATGCTGCCCTATCCTTTTACCAAAACCACACCAACATGTATTATGTTAATTTAGGTAAAGATTATAAACAGGAATGCTATCTTGAATTACACTGCAAGGTCTTGGGGTTCATTCTCTTCAGTCTTTGTATATATAAGCCAGGATATAACCGACATTTGCATGCCTGTGTTACGAAGAACTGTCTAACTCAGACAATTCTTCAGTCATATCACAGAAATGCTAAATTGACTTAGATTGCAAGCTCTTGGTGACTAGGACATACAGGTAATTGCCCCCAAGAGCTTGCAATATAACACATATTTTGCATTTTCTGTGAGGACTCACAGCACCAGGCCCAGTTAAATTAAAGTACCTGACAAGTTAGGCAGCAGGGCAAGTAGCACAATGGCAGACTCAGGTTGGCAAGTGGCTGCAGACAGGCTTGACACGGGGCTAGATTGGAAGTCTAGTATTGGGTCTGGCACTGGCAGAGACAGGACAGCACATCAGTGGTGGTGGGTGGCAGACTGGATCTAGCAGCACTCAGTATTGTAGTTGGACTCACACAGGTCTCACGAGACAGCCAGAAGAAGCAGAAATGACTCAGTGCAGGCTCATAAGCATTGGTTGGCATTCATTCAACACATTCTCACCATGCCTGCTTCACATCTGTCACAGTGCAACAGACATGGGGAGAAGAACATGAGCGATTTAAACCAATGTATGTGAGCATGCACTGAGTGAGCCAATCAGAAGCTAAGTGAATGACTGAGTGAGTATACTGCTATATAAATATATAGGTTGAAAATGATACCTTGTAAAGGTGAAGAAATAAAACTTAACTTTTATTCTGTACAGTTCAATACATGAACTTTCATCAGGTTATAAATATACATATGTAATTCTGGGCCCCTGCTGGTATGTCCTGTGAAAAGGGGGCACAGGCAACTAATCTTCCACCTCCAGCAGCAGGTCCTCTTTGAGCCACGAGATCATGGCTAACTATTTGTAGCAAAGGCTTTAGTGTTATTGAAAAAAACAAGGACAATGGATTTCCATGCCTTGGTGTCATTGTAGGTGATAAAGGAAGGGAGGTAGGTACGTGCAAGGAAAGGTACACATAGCGATGCATAATCCAGAGGGCCAATTTAAATTTGGGAAGGAGAAAAATTAGGAAAAAAGTTTTGACTACATTTTTTGAATATTGCAAAAAGATCAGTGTTGAGTGTCATAGCAGGGCTGTACAATTTCTGGTGTTATGACATGACTCATGACCACGGTGAACCTCAGAGAGATAGGCATTGTTCACAGAAGAACAAGTCCAATGTCTTCACTCTCTGTGCTGCCGTGGAGAGAAGTGGCCAACCTCATTCATTATATTACAAAGGTCTGGGCACCCATGGTAAGTGACAAGAAAGGTTTTAATAGAAAAACTAAGATATGCAAAACAGCAGGTGAAGCAGCGTTTATCAAGCCTGAACACTCATGCTTAATGTGCTTGTATATATAGGTAAAACTAAACAGAGAGAGTTGATTTAAGGAAAGGCATAGAGGTCAAACGAGGTTCTATAAAATACAAAGATATTGGAGGGAATCCAGTATATATTTTAAATCCTGTTTCTTCAAATGCGAGGCTTCATTCTAACTACCTTTTATGCACCACCCATGGTGTAATGTAGGGGTAGGAAACCATAGGCACTATAGATGTTGGGGATTACATTTCCTCTGATGTTTTGCTAGCATTGTGGCTATAACAGCAGTATGGGAGATGTAGTGCCGAAGGTTTCCTTCTCTTGGTGCAGTGGGATATTGAACCACAAGGAGAAGGCCTTGAGCTACTTCCAACAGGGCAGCCATCAGAAATTTTTGGGCCCCTGACACAGCTCAAGGTCTGGGTATTTTTTTAAGATAATGAGATTAACACTTAGATGATGTCGCTTAAATGGGTAGAAACATAGGTTAAGCTAAGCTTGTCCTGCATCAGGCTATGTCTATGCAGGTTACATTTGTGCTTATAGATTACTGTAGTCTGGGGCTGCAGTTGCTGTGCGTTAGCATTGGTACCTCATAACTAGTAACTAACTAAACAGTGCTAAAACGTAGGTAAGATGTGGTAAAGTAATGCTTAATATTCTGCTTTTGAGTCCTATTAACCGAAGGCCTCTGGGCTGTCCAGCTGCAGTGGTTGCCTGTTACTGGAACAGTGAGCGTTTGTGGGCCTGTGGTATTGCCTGTCAGCCAATGCCTTCTGTTGGGATATTGTCAGCACCCGCTGGAGGTCCTCTAGGAGCCGCTGGTGTGAGGGTGCTATTGAGGGTGACCTTCTTGCCCCAGGTCGGTATGAGGTCCTGCATCCATCGACCTCTAACTCGGTACTTGCCATAGTCCGAGTTTCTTCCCCGCATAGGGGTAACGGAGGGTCTGGTGGTTTGCTTGTGTTTGCGCTGCCTGGGCCTCCGTTTGTGTGGTCGATGCTGTCGGGTGTTCCCCGGTTTGACCTTCAACCCAGGTGGACTCTGTGGCTTGGGGGTAAGTGGGGACGCTGTCGCTGTGCCCAAGGACTTTCCCCTCACCTCCCTCTGCCCTCGGCTCTGCTCATTCTTGTTCCGTGGAGTACAATGTGGGGGCTGGGCTGTGTGGTATCGCTCCCAGAACTGCTCCCAAAAGCGGGTGAAGCTGTCGTTTATACGTTCCTTGATATCTTGGTGCAGCCGTTTGTGAGAGTGCGGGCTCTTTTCGTGTGTCGCCGTTTCAGCCGCCATTTTAGGAGCGCCCAGCATAGGAGCGTTATAGCTGTGTTGCTTGCTTCTTGGCGGGCTGATCGCTCCCGACTTCCAGCCCGGACCGAGATATCCCCCATCGGTCCAAAGGGGAGAGGGGGGTAGGAGGAGAGTGTTCAGTGGGATCGACAAGCTGAGGTACTGGTAAGGAGAGCGGCCACCTCTCCCCGGCTCCATGGCATGCAGGCCCCATGCTGTATTTGCGGGTTCCTGGTGGTTAATTGTGTCGGTTTTGGTCTCATTCTGATCCCCCGGGTGTCCCCATATTCGTTGTCACCTTCCAGGCGTTATGTGTGCCACTTTTCTGGGGTTTTACCCCTTGTTTCAGAAGTTTGTGCCAGGAGCTGATGGATAGCATGTCCATTCAGCCCGGAAGCTAGGCTCCGCCACAGTCTTTTACTTTTTTATGAATGGGGGGCTACTGATTGGCTTAGAGTGCCAGCTGACCGCTCTAACCAATCAGCGACACCTCTACCCAGCGGCACTCTGTGCTAACTAACACATTAACACTGATATTTTTTTTTTACTTGGGGAGATGAGAAAGTCCAAAATTTCCCTGCCAGGCCCAGGGACCAAAGCCTTTTGATGTGGTGTCCAGAATAAAGTGGAGGGTTCACTTGACTTGTCCTTCCTGCTCCAATCTCCTTTTCTTCTTCATTTGGCACAGTCTTCTTTTTCTTCTTACACTGTCTTCTCTTCTCCTTGGCTCCTTCTGCTCCTTTACCTTTCTGCTTCTATCTGCTTATTTTGCGCCTTTCTCTTTCTGATCCCTTTCTGCTCCTTGCAGACCCTTTCTGCTCCTTCTCCTACTTTACCTCTGTGCTCCTTGCTGTCCCTTTCTGCTCCTTACTACCCTTTTCTGCTCCTTCTTCTACTTTACCTTTGTACTCCTTCTGATTATTTCTGCTCCTTTACCATTGTGCTCCTTTTGTCCCTTTCTGCTCTTTGCAGAACCTTCCTTCTTCTTGCAGACCCTTCCTGCTCTTTGCACACCTTCCTTCTCCTTGCTGCCCCTTGCAGACCCTTCCTGCTCCTTGCAGACCCTTTCTGCTCTTTCCTGCCCCTTCCTGCTCCTTGCAGCCTCTTTCTGCTCCTTGATGTCCCTTCCTGCTCATTTCTGTTCCGTCTCCTACTTTACCTTTGTGCTCCTTCTGTCCCTTCCTTCTCCTTGCTGCCCCTTGCAGACCCTTTCTGCTCTTTCCTGCCCCTTCCTGCTCCTTGCAGCCCCTTTCTGCTCCTTGATGTCCCTTCCTGCTCATTTCTGTTCCTTCTCCTACTTTACCTTTGTGCTCTTTCTGTCCCTTCCTGCTCCTTGCTGCCCTTTACAGCTTCTTCTGACCCTTTCTGCCCCTTCTACTTTACCTCTGTGCTGCTTACCTTCCAGCTCCTTGCTGACCCTTCATTCTCTTTGCTGACCCTTCCTGCTCCTTGCTGACCCTTCCTGCTCCTTGCTGACCCTTTGTGCTCCTTGTTGACCCTTTTTGCTCCTTCCTAACCCTTCCTTCTCCTTGCTGACCCTTCTTGCTCCTACAGACCCTTCCTGCTCCTTGCTGCCCCTTTCTGCTCATTTATGTTCCTTTGTGCTCCTTCTCCTACTTTGCCTTTTGTGCTCCTTGCTGTCTCTTCTAGCTCCTTGCTGCCCCTTTCTGCTCCTTGATGTCCCTTCCTGCTCATTTCTGTTCCTTCTCCTACTTTACCTTTGTGCTCCTTCTGTCCCTTCCTGCTCCTTGCTGACCCTTTCTGCTCCTTCTACTTTACCTTTGTGCTGCTTATCTTCCAGCTCCTTGCTGACCCTTCCTGCACCTTGCTGACCCTTTTTGCTCCTTACTGACCCTTCCTTCTCTTGCTGACCCTTCTTGCTCCTTGCTGCCCCTTCCTGCTCATTTATGTTCCTTTGTGCTCCTTCTCCTACTTTGCCTTTTGTGCTCCTTGCTGTCCCTTCCATCTCCTTGCTGCCCCTTTCTGCTCCTTGATGTCCCTTCCTGCTCATTTCTGTTCCTTCTCCTTTCTGCTCCTTCTCTTACTTTACCTTCCTGCTCCTTGCTGACCCATCCTGTAGGCTGCCTCCCCCCATCCCTCACTTACCTGATCTATAGGATGTCTCTTTCCCCCATGCCTCACTTCCCTGATCTATAGTCTGCCCCCATGCCTCACTTCCTGATCTATGGGCCTGTGCCTCTCTTCCCTGATCTATAGACTGCCCCCCATGCCTCTCTTCCTGATCTATGGGCTGCCCCCATGCCTCTATCTATGGGCTCCCCATCCCTCTCTTCCCTGATCTATAGGCTGCCCCCCCTCCCCTGATCTATAGGCTGCCCCCCCATGCCTCTCTTCCCTGATCTATAGGCTGCCCCCCCATGCCTCTCTTCCCTGATCTATAGGCTATCTCTCCCCCCCCCCATGCCTCACTTACCTGATCTGTAGGCTGTCTCTGCACTCTGGGAGTTGCTGGCTGCATGTGCTGCTCCCCTGCGCATTCAGTCAGAGAACTGTCGGAACTTAAGACCAGAGGTCACCAATTTATTATAAGGAGTGTGAGAACCAGTAATACAGCAAAATACCAACAATACTGCATGCAGTTCTAAGTCACCACTGGGTGCCAGTGAAGAATTTACAAATGCTACAAAGTGTTTCTGACGCGTGTAGCCTTGCCTAACATGGGAAATCTGTTGAAAGCTGTCAACCAGATATATGCTTATTCAAAATGAACATTTGGAGAGAATTTTAAAGAAGAAAAAAAAAATTATTAATATAAAAAATCAAACAATATTTCCATCAAGTCGGTTGAATTTCACTATCAGATACATTGACTAAACGGCTTATTTTCATGAACTGACCAGGGAGTTGCAATTTTTGGCCAAAATAATGAAGCTGGGGAATTCTCCATCGCAAATACTGTATGTTCTCAGCACGGCTATTTTGGTAAAAAAAAATTGCAGTTCTCCTTTTTACTTCCAGTATAGTGACTAACCCTGAACACGTATTAAAGCGACACTGTCATGGCATTTTTTTTAACCCCCCTTCCTGATTCCACTACATTTAATTGTCCCACTAGTCACCCTCAAATGCCCCTAAGCCCCCCATTTCTTTTAATCTTTATTTCGTGTCCGGACATAGGTCCTGGGCGCCACCATCTTTGTGTAGGCAGACTGGAATTTTGTCAATTCATTAATTCGTCAGAAAGACAAATGAACGAATAGAAATTTTACACAAACAAAAAAAGACTGTAGGTGCTACCAGCTTGTAAAAATAGTAGTGGCGGGGAGCTGTGTCCCCAACTTACTCTATGGGGGTCAATGTAACCTGCATATTAGCATAAGGAAGATTAAAATCTCCCAAATGCCCCTACCCGCTTTGCCACGAGTAGGGGCATGAACAGCCTCTGGAAAAAAAGACCCCCCCAATATAGTGACCATGGTGGGTCACCTTTGCAAATAATTAATGGGGGGACTGTCAAGTATTCATCCGCTTATAAAAATGTGGTTAAAGGGACACTATAGTCACCTGAACAACTTTAGCTTACTAAAGCAGTTTTGGTGTATAGAACATGCCCCTGCAGCCTCACTGTTCAATCCTCTGCCATTTAGGAGTTAAATCACTTTGTTTATGAACCCTAGTCACACCTCCCTGCGTGTGACTTGCACAGCCTTCCATAAACACTTCCTATAAATTTAGGCTTTCTTTATTGCAAGTTCTGTTTAGTTAAGATTTTCTTATCCCCTGCTATGTTAATAGCTTGCTAGACCCTTGCTAGACCCTGCAAGAGGCTCCTGTATGTGATTAAAGTTCAATTTAGAGATTGAGATACAATTATTTAAGGTAAATTACATCTGTTTGAAAGTGAAACCAGTTTTTTTTGCATGCAGGCTCTGTCAATCATAGCCAGGGGAGGTGTGGCTAGGGCTGCATAAACAGAAACAAAGTGATTTAACTCCTAAATGGCAGTGAATTGAGCAGTGAAATTGCAGGGGAATGATCTATACACTAAAACTGCTTTATTTAGCTAAAGTAATTTAGGTGACTATAGTGTTGCTTTAATGGCATTTACTGTCCACACAGGAAAAGTTGTGCCGAGCAGCAACCAAATCCACAGAAGGGTTAATGCTGAGCAGCAATTATGCAAATGGGAACCTGGTAACTGCCTTTGGGGTCAAAGGCCAGTTACAGCCTATTAGATCTAGAGGAGGGGTATTTAGGCCCAGTTCTCATCCTGCTCAGTGCCCTGTCGTGGTTTCCCTTGTGGTTGATCAAGAGCGCGTTATTGATTCTGGTTATTTGACTTTGGCATTGTTTTTGACTTCCCTGTTTTCTGGCATCCCTGACTCCTGGCTTTTCCTTATCGTTGTGTCTCTTTCTGTTTCCTTTGACCTCGGCTATTCCTGACTATTCTTTGGTACGTTAGTCAGGCCATTCTAAGTTCCGGTATACGTTACCTATCAGTCCTCTGTGTTACACAATTCTACGTGCTGGATCATTCTGTAATCCTGACAGGGACATAGTGTCACTATGCCCCCCCCCGATGTAATTATTTGCATAAGGTCTTTTTTTACCACAGGCTGCTCACTGTTTAGCAGACATGCCCCTACTCGCAGCATAGCAGGTAGGGGGCAGAAGGAAGATTTTAAACTCCCTTATTTACTCATACTAAGTAATCTTTACTTAATATTAATACATTTGGCTGAAAGACCAATTTTGGTCTTTCAGCCGCTTAGTAGATGCTCCCTAATACCGTGGAATTAGTGAGCTATCTACTAAGTGGCTGCAACACGCAGCAGCGGCACAAATCGGATCGAACAAAATGCATGAAGTTCATCCTAACATGAATGGACAAACTATACTCATTCTGTTAGGATTAAATCCGTTAGTTTCGCCGGCATTTGATCACGAATGAAATAACACGAGAACACGGAAGAAAGGGTGAGTATTGTGGGAAAATTTCTTTGACCGCAGAAAATGAAGCGGACTTAAGCTCCTCTTTTGGTCAAAGCTGGTCAAGCGTAGTCCCTACTTTGTCTTATGTTTTAAATAAGAAAAGAAGAACCGATCCTTAGAGAGGATGGTAAGAGGAATCAATAGGAGAAAGGTAAGTTTGGCGTGACCGTGCCACTTTAACAGTTGAACTGAAAATGTAAACCAAATGTACATAATTTGAGAAAAATCCTTTAACTCCCAAATGATACAAAAAACAAATGAAATAGAAAATAGAGGTGACTTTTACCAAGTAATATAAACAAATATAGGCATAACAGCTGTCCATGGAGTCATCAATTTCAGTAATATTTCAGGAATGCTATATGTGACTGCACACCAACCAAATATGTGAATGAGCAAGGAGGCTTGGAGAAATAGAAGACTTGTGTGACAGAGCTTCAGTACTCTGACCGAGTACCTCCGCCAAGTCTGCTACCTCTTAGTTATCAGGGACCCTGGAGCACTACATATCCAGTCACCGAGGCTTGTCTGGAAACAATGAGGGCCTTTTCAGAAGAAAATGAAGGAAAGGGACCTCAGTTGAGAAAAAGGATAAATGAGTCATTTATTACACGTGAGTTTACAGAGGAAGAGGTTCTATTTCAACTGTCAAAAGTAAAGACAAATAAGTCAATGGGACCTGATGGAATACACCCAAAGTTATTAAAAGAGCTTAGTGGTGTACTAGCAAAACTATTAACAGATTTATTTAACCAATCATTGTTAACAGGAGTAGTCCCAGAAGATTGGAAGTTAGCGAATGTTGTGCCCATTTACAAGAAAGGTAATAGGGAGGAGTTGGGCAACTATGGGCCAGTAAGCCTTACTTCAGTAGTGGGGAAAGTGATGGAAACCATGTTAGGATAGGATTGATGAACATCTAAAAACACATGGATTTCAAGATCAGAGACAGCATGGGTTTACTTCAGGGAGATCATGCCAAACTAATCTTATTGATTTTTTTGATTGGGTAACTAAAATTATAGATCAGGGTGGTGCAGTAGGCATTGCTTACCTAGATTTCAGTAAGGCTTTTGACACTGTTGCACATAGAAGGCTTATCAATAAACTACAATCTTTAAGTTTGGATTCCAATATTGTTGAATGGGTAAGGCAGTGGCTGAGTGACAGGCAACAGAGGGTTGTAGTCAATGGAGTATATTCAAAGCTTGGGCTTGTCACCAGTGGGGTACCTCGGGGATCTGTACTTGGACCCATTCTCTTTAATATTTTTATTAGTGATATTGCAGAAGGTCTTGATGGTAAGGTATGTCTTTTTGCTGATGATACTAAGATATGTAACAGGGTTGATGTTCCAGGAGGGATAAGCCAAATGACAAATGATTTAAGTAAACTAGAAAAATGGTCAGAATTGTGGCAACTGACATTTAATGTGGATAAGTGCAAGATAATGCATCTTGGACGTAAAAACCCAAGGGCAGAGTACAGAATATTTGATAGAGTTCTAACCTCAACATATGAGGAAAGGGATTTAGGGGTGATTATTTCTGATGACTTAAAGGTAGGCAGACAATGTAATAGAGCAGCAAGAAATGCTAGCAGAATGCTTGGTTGTATAGGGAGAGGTATTAGCAGTAGAAAGAGGGAAGTGCTCATGCCATTGTACAGAACACTGGTGAGACCTCACTTGGAGTATTGTACACAGTACTGGAGACCGTATCTTCAGAAGGATATTGATATCTTAGAGAGGGTTCAGAGAAGGGCTACTAAGCTGGTTCATGGATTGCGGGATAAAACTTACCAGGAAAGGTTAAAGGATCTTAACATGTATAGCTTGGAGGAAAGACGAGACAGGGGGGATATGATAGAAACATTTACATATATAAAGGGAATCAACACAGTAAAGGAGGAGACTATATTTAAAAGAAGAAAAGCTACCACAACAAGAGGACATAGTCTTAAATTAGAGGGACAAAGGTTTAAAAATAATATCAGGAAGTATTACTTTACTGAGAGGGTAGTGGATGCATGGAATAGCCTTCCAGCTGAAGTGGTAGAGGTTAACACAGTAAAGGAGTTTAAGCATGGGTGGGATAGGCATAAGGCTATCCTAACTATAAGATAAGACTAGGGACTAATGAAAGTATTTAGAAAATTGGGCAGACTAGATGGGCCGAATGGTTCTTATCTGCCGTCACATTCTATGTTTCTATGTTTTCCACCCTAAACCAGGCTAATGTATTACAGCCATGGACACCCTTTTTATCAGTAGATTATATCCCTTTCCACAAACACCAGACAACACTTGGTGAAGGTTAAAACAGCAACTGACTTTACTAGACATAGTACACATATTTTAAGCCCCTAACAGCCTCATTTACATACAATGGTGCATAAAGCACTGTATTACAAGGAAGGGTTGGGTCAGACAATAGCAAGGGCTAATGGGAGATTGAGGAGGGACAAAGCAGCTAGTTTAACCCCTTAAGGACACATGACATGTGTGACATGTCATGATTCCCTTTTATTCCAGAAGTTTGGTCCTTAAGGGGTTAAACTGGTCTGGAAGTGTCCCTGGGACAACGCCCTGCTGGGGAAACACAGAGCTTTTCTTTAATATTGATTGGACCCTGGGCAAGCATTTGCTTGGCCCCCTTTGCCCCACCCCCCACCACCTCCCCCCTCACTCCCTGGCATGCAATCAAGCCCTCCACCCCAACGCAGTGACAGACTAAAGTAGAAATAGCCCTGGTGCAAGTATTTGTTTGGGCCCTCCAATTGCAAGGGTGCACAGATACACACTGAAAAACGTGCAAATACACAGATATGCACACTGACACACTTGTAGATACAGACACATAAACTCACACAGATAAAGACAAACAGATATACAACCTGACACACATGCAGATGCTCTGACACACCGGTATACACACTAGACATGTGCACTTCGTTTCGGTCCGAATATGAATTCGGACGAATTTCGGGCAATTCAGACATTCGGGTACTTCCGAATTGCCAAGGTCCTGAAGTTCCGAAATTGCAGAAGTTCCGAAGCATAGTATTGCCTAAGTACTAATATACTTACCCAGTGAAAGAAGGAGAATGTTACATTGTATACAATTTTAAATAAAAAGTATACAAACATAGTCAGGATTCAGCTGTAGGCATTTGCAACTTTTACGACAATCAAGTAACATACATTCATATAAAATGTTAGTTACTTAGCCAGTCAGTGTAATGACAGGAATGAATAAGTAGATAACTCCCTAATTCCCACGGTATTAGGGCGCTATCTACTAAAAGGCTGAAAGACCCATATTGGTCTTTCAGCCAAATTTACTAATACTAAGTAAAGATTACTTAGTATTAGTAAATTATGCCCCTACTCACTATACCGCGAGTAGGGGCATGTCTATTAAACAGTGAGCAGCCTATTGCCCCCCCGGCCCCCACTCCTGAGCGGGTGGGAGCCCTAAATCAGAATGGGGGGGGACCTAATGTCCTCCCCCCTGGAACCCAACCCTGAGTGGCGGTTGGGGGCCCTACAGTAAAATAAGGGGGAGGGAACTAATGTCCTCCCCCCTGGCCCCCACCCCTGAGCGGTGGGTGGGGGCCCTAAATACTAATAGGGGGGGACCTAATGTCCTCCCTCCTGGCCCCCACTCCTGAGCGGCGGGTGGGGGCCCTACAGTAAAATAGGGGGGGCCTAATGCCCTCCCCCCTGGCCCCCACCCCTGAGCGGTGGGTGGGGGCCCTAAATACTAATAAGGGGTGGACTTAATGTCCTCCTCCCTGGCCCCCACTCCTGAGCGGCGGGTGGGGGCCCTAAATACCAATGGGGGGGGACCTATTGTCCTCCCCCCCGGCCCACACCCCTTGAGTGGCGGGTGGGGGCCCTAAAAAAAAATATTAACCCCCCCAGGTGACTAGGGGTCCCCAAACTCCTAGTCACCCCCTCCCCCCCAAAAAAAATTAACCCCCTACCTACTCCCCTCACCCTAAAAATAATGAGGGGGGGACCTTTAACTAAGTACCTGTAAAAGAAAATAAAACTTACCATTCAATGTTTTCTTTCTTCTAAAATCTTCTTTTTTCAGCCCCAAAAAAGGCCAAATAAAAAACCATAATAACCGACGCAATTTAAAAAAAAAAAATGAGCGCAAAAAAAATAATCCATCTTCACCCATGGAGGGCTCCACGCAGACTGAGCTCTGCAGGGCGGGGGAAGGCTTATAAAGCCTTCCCCCGCCCTGCAATTAGGCTCAGAGCACTCTGATTGGTGGGTTTAAGCCATCCAATCAGAGTGCTCTGACAGGTAAATAAAGAGACTGACAGGTAAGTCTCTACATTTACCTGTCACAGCACTCTAATTGGTTGGTTTGAAATCCACCAATCAGAGTGCTCTGTGTCATTTTACACAGCGTGGGAAAGTTCTTTGGGGGGCACCGGAGGAGGAGGATCCACCGCGGGGGGGCTCCCTGGGAGTCCCCCCCCACCGCGATCGCTGGCCTGGGACCGCTGGCGACCGGGTAAGTAAAGAAAGACCGGAGGGCGTACAATTACGCCCGGTGGCGTTTAGAGCCGCCTAAAATAGGGTGTAATTGTACACCCTCCGGTCTTAAGGGGTTAAACGTGTGGATCTATTATTATTGTTTTTATTACACAGTTTTACATATGTATAATATGGTTTCATTCTATCTAGAGCACTTGGTGTTTCTATTTATTTTGTATACTTTGTTTCAATCTCTATGTTATTACGGCAGTCTCTGGCGCTAGCACGTTACTATGGTAACAGGGTCACGCATGTTTTTACTACTTCCAGGTTCCATATGTTTGCACATGCGCACAAGGTCCGGAGAGACGCCGGTATATTGAACACCATCACCTGTGGTGAGTTCATTTCTCTTTTTTTATGGGTATATATTTAAGCACTGTAATTCAGTTTTGTATTGTCAGTTCACCTTGAGGAAAGCCCCGGACGAGGGCTGAAACGTCGGTGTGATGATTTTATGGATATGCTTTGAATAAAGAAAAACCTTTATACTTCAAGTCCGTGAGTGCAAGCCGCTTTTGTACGTTTTTGTATATATGGATATATATATATATATAGAGAGAGAGAGAGAGAGAGAATATACATTTTATAAAAAAACTTTGGCCAGCATTTGTGACTAAGTGGCTACTAAAAAAGAATGGAAATACCCCATTTTGAATACCTGGTGTTGTCTACATTTGAAAATGGTATGATGGGGTTATTTCACCCCATGATGGGGTTATATCACATTTCTGGGCTACCATATGGTCTCAAAAGGCAACACAGACCCAGCAAACCAATTAGGCAAACTAGATCGGGCAAACCCTATAGTCACCCTGTAACTTTCCAAGACACCATAAAACCTGTACATGGGGGGTATTGTTACACTCAGGAGACTTCGCTGAACACAAATATGAGTGTTTAAAACAGTAAAACTTATCATGACAATGAAATCACCAGTAAAAGTGCAGTTTTGTGTAAACAAATGCAAAAAACTAATATGAACGCTAACTTTGGCCAGTGTTTGTGACTAAGTGGCTACTACAAAAGACTGGAAATACCCCATTTGAATACCCTGGGTTGTCTACATTTGAAAATGGCATGATGGGGTTATTTCACATTCCTGGGTTACCAATCTGGCAAACTGAATTGGCCAAGCCCTATATTTACATAGTTACATAGCCGAAAAGAGACTTGCGCCCATCAAGCTCAGCCTTCCTCACATTTGTTTTTTGCTGTTGATCCAAAAGAAGGCAAAAAAAAAACAGTTTGAAGCACTTCCAATTTTGTAACAACTAGTCAAGAAATTCTGCCTAATAGCAGGGTACTTTTTAGTGGAACATTCATCTGTACCCCGTGGCTGATTCCCTTATACCTACTATGTAGAATCCTCTAACTGATAATAGTAGCTCTATGTCTTATGGATAATAAAGGTTTCATATTTTTTTGGCTTTTAGGCTACTAGTTCATTTAAAGTTATATTCCTTCCCTGACAGTTTACTTCCATTCGGAGTGAATGTCTTGGATATTGTTTTCTTTTGTTTTCTAGTTCTAGTAATTAGGGTTATCTCCTGCTCTATAAGTACAACTAGGTGACCTCTCTGCTTGACAGGGGGATATGGTCATAGGTCTTCCCTGGCTTATGATTCTAGCTAGTAGAAGATGTTTTGACCTTGGTTAACTTTTTATTTATTTATCTAGTTACTGACAGATATACACACACACACACACTTACTGACAGACATAAACTCACACACACTCACTGACAGACACACACACTTACTGACAGACATACATTCACACACACACACTTACTGACAGACATAAACTCACACACACACACTCACTGACAGACATATACTCACTCACACACACACATACACACCCACTCACTGACAGACACGCACACACTCACTGACAAACATACACATACACTCACTGACAGACATACACTCACCTCACTGGGGTCCAGTGTGGGACAGCTCTTTACTCCTCCCGTCTGCCATTTAGTATGCCAGGGCCAGAATGACATCATATTCCGGCTCCCAGCATCACAGAGGGCACGCAAGGGAGGAGTGAGGAGCTACAAGAACAACCTCCTTCTCCGCCTGCCTGCTCCGTCCCCCTCTCCTCCGGTCACCAGCATTTGATGGCAGAGCAGGCACCTGTCATCAAGGTAAGAAGGTGCCTGCTCTGCTATCAAATGCTGGTGACTGGATGAGAGGCGTTCGGGCGCCTAGAGGAGCGGCCTGGCGCTGAGGGGGGAGGGGGGGCGGCTCTAGAGCTGCTCACCCAACAATGCGGCTCAAAACAGGGGGAGCCCACCAGAAAATATCCCAGTGGGCACCCCCAGCAGGCCCTGGTCTAAACTGTGATGCTCTCCTTTTGGTATATGACCTGTAACTGTGGGAACTATTAGAAAATCTTAAAGCAAATCATGACAAACAAAGAACATAATTTCACATACCTTTTCTAACTAAATTAGCTGTCTAAAAATTATAAAAGATTAAACTGAAAAAAAATGTTTTCAAAATGTTCCTTTCATTGTACATTGTGTAGAAAGAAAATTGCCTTTGAACTGAGACACGAGAAAACATTTTTAAAATTGCTCTAAGCAAAAGGCACTAAACAAACAGTATCAAAAAGAAGATTGCAAAAAAGTGTGCTCACTATTTAAGGTAAAACTAATATGTTGTCATGTTTGGGTTAAACAAAACATGGGTAAAGGAAAGTTAAAAATGTTAAATGTCTAATTGCTGTAACTGGAATGTGTGACTGTTTTTTACATATCAGACTTTGGTAATTCAAGTACCAATGCACTGTTATAATAATCTAAAATGTAATTAGGTAAACATATTTTCAAACATGCTCTGAAAAAGGCCATTAAAAAAATGTCAACTACCCCTTTTAAATATACTACACTGTTTTGATATCTATTTAAAAAAAAC